ATCAGCTTTAATGAGTGCCCTCCCCCTTCCCAGTTCATTGCTAAAGAATTCACACACGAGGGTCAAAATTAACATTCGAATAGTTTGGAAATTCTGTACAACACAACGCTTATAAATATATATTAGACGTGAATTTGCTTTAAATTTTAAATGTATGTCCCAAACTTACAAAAAAATGAAATTAAACTATATTTAGATATGATCAGCAAAAATATATTGTTCCAGCATTTATTTTATGAATATGCACAGTGGCCTTATGGGTCTGTTGGATTTTAATTTACTGCCTTTTTTTGGGTTTGAATTTTTTTTTTTTAAATCAGAGTCTGAATTTAATGACCAACCGACGTTTGATGACTTCCCCCTGTCCTAAAATCTCAACCAAAGAAAATGTCCGCTGTGGTTCGAATCCCTAACCTTCTATTTGCAAAGTTATGTTTTTTTTTTTTCTCGTTTAGAGATGTTATCCTGCTATGTCTCGTTTAGAGATGTTATCCTACTATGTCTCGTTTAGAGATGTTATCCTGCTATGTCTCGTTTAGAGATGTTATCCTGCTATGTCTCGTTTAGAGATGTTATCCTGCTATGTCTCGTTTAGAGATGTTATCCTGCTATGTCTCGTTTAGAGATGTTATCCTGCTATGTCTCGTTTAGAGATGTTATCCTGCTATGTCTAGGTTACCATGATCTCTAGGCTAGTCCCGTTATCATTGGGATCTTCACATTTCCCCAGTAGCTGGGCATTTTAAACTCAGTTGGCTATTTTTCTTGCACTTATCACCCTAACCTCCCCTCTTCAATCTAATGTTACTTCCCTCGTCTGGTCTTGACGGTGTAAATAGACTTCAATTCACATTAAACTTCGTACACTTTAACGTATTTAGTCAATTTAAGTAGTTATCAGAATTTAATTTCATGAGCTGCCTGGTCGTGCGGTATGCGCGCTGGACTGTCGTTTGGTCATCTCGGTGGTCCCAGGTTCATACCCAGCTCTCTGCCATCTCCCGTTGTCATGCGGGAGGTTTGAGCTAGGATGTAGATTATCTTCAACTCTGAAGGAGCATCCGAAACATGCAAAACCTTTTAGAAACATTGTAGTCAATTGTAGACCTTATCAAAGCACTTCTAAGTAAATAACGTATCGGACATAATAGCGAAGATGAAGCAATGTTCATTCTCAGTAACGGAATGAAGTGTGTGAGACTTCTGTCTCTAACTAGATGAGATCTCCGTGAAGGACTGCGCTCCGAACTCATCGCTAGTCTGTATCGCTACTTTCCTATTTTTGTCACATCACCATGTCATATTTAACGTTGCGTTCATAGCTTGTCTTCAATAGCGTCTTGAACTCATGACAGTATATTCTTGAGTACCCTAAAGGCGTAATTGAGAAAGAATACCAACAGTGCATTCCATGATTACATTGATTACAATCTACTAGCCTGTCATATTCAGTGGAAATTTTTTTTTACACAAAAATTTAAAAAATTAGCTAACAGAAACATTTCGAATGTTGTTTTTTTTATTTTAACTGCATAACATTTTATTTTTAAAAAAATGTGCGTCAAGCGATATGTGATTAAGATTTTATAAAATGCAACGATGCATGGTGATATTACATCGAATATACACTCTTGCGTATTGTAGTTATTCTGTTACTGCAATTAATTAAATTATCTCTATCTTTATTTCGGAAAGAAAAAATCGCATTGAAATATATATATGACTATATTATCAAATATACATTTATATTTATTCTATCATAATATATATATATATAATACATATATATAACATTTTACGTCTCGACATTTGATCTTTTTCTTTCGCAACTTCTTGTGTGACTAAAGAGGCCAACTCTTGATACACAGCTGCGGTCGCAGGTTGGGCATATGTAACCACCAGGCGTCGTTGCATTTTCACCATTCTTTCTGCTTCTGTTGTGAATGGCATCTGCAATCCGAGACCCTTCCTTTATGCTCGCTCTCCATGTGGATCTATCCAGTGCTACTTTTTCTAAGCTGCTAGTGTCGATTTTGAAGAGCTTCTATTTATATAATTAAGTATAAATGCAAAGATTTCAATTTATTTTTAAAGGGCTGTAACCAGTGTTTCGTTTTAATGTTAATACTTATTGCGAAAAATCCTTTCCCTTTAATCATTTCTTTTTTTTTTTTTTAAAAACAAATACGAAAGAGTGTCATTATTGGGAAAATATAGGAACCACTTGTACATGTACATCATACACTGATGAAACCACAATATGGTTTTTATTAGTGAATCCAATAATGGGTTTATTTTTTTTTTCATGTTATACATTCAGAATTTAAGACTCCTACATCGGTTTACTTGTACTTGGAAATTGTCCTAAAAATATAATCACGATACGAGCTTACTGTCAATAGCAAATACAATAAAAATACAATAATATGTTCTTATTTAGCCTTTAAAACAACGAATAATGAAGTGATTTTTTCCTTAAGACCGTGTATATTACTAAATTAAAGAAACAGATGATAATGAATTGACTAAATAACACAAATATGTTATTTGAAGTAACAAGAGTAACCTACCACTGTGCACAAGTGGTGGCTCGGGAGAGTGATTGATAGAAATTAAAGCTCTTGTTTAATTAATAATCTAACATTAAAGCTTTACTCGAACTTTTTTGTGAAGCTGCAATTGAAACCACTACACGCAAGTTTTTCGTCACAGCCATGAAGAACAATTGAGGACCAAAGAACAGATGTACTAATAAAAGGTGGAGGAAAGATCTGAAGTAATTCAGTATCAGAAACAGTGCCCATAACCTCAATACACAGAAAAAGTATCCAAACTACAGAGATGTAATTACTAAGGAATATATCTCTTACACGTAGCTTATAATATCCTTACCAAGCTTAATACTTGGAGAATATTCAGAAAAAATCTTAGGTGCCTGCCAACGTAGTTTCAGAACGAATATATCTAACAAAAATATACACAGCTGATCACAGTTTAACACTAAGATGTAGACTAAAAATATGCTAGAAAAACTGTATAGTTGTACACCAAATTTAAGTAGATTACTGTCAGGTTCTTTTCTTGCTTGGCTCGTTATGGGTTACTCAATTATAATTAATACTGAATAAACTCTAACTCCAACTCTAGATATCCATGAAAAATAACAATAACTTAAATATCCAATAAATCACACAATGACATCAACTATCAGGAAATATAAATACATAAACACCAGTCCAGGAAGCAACCGTCCAACCTTCCTGGACCCGGGAGAAGACCTCACCTGCTAACACACTCTCTCACACATTCAATGAAGACTAAACCATTCAGTTCATAACAGGTGCAAGGCTATTCACATTCATAACATGGGCCTGGGAGTACATAAACAAAGGGGTATAACTATCATACCAAAATATCAACAAAGTAGCATATTCACTCTCGCCATACCTCCCCCTGTCAATTACAAATTGTATTATTAGAGTGTCAAAAGGAAATATCTCTCAATTTTGTAATAACCCAACAAACTGACAAGACGCACACATATGACCTGGAATTGAACAACTGAAATAAGTTAGGTCTCGGTTCAGGGAGAACATTCTCGAGAAGTTTGGATTAAGACAAGGAGACTCACATTCATGCATGTTTTCAATGCAACGCTAGTGTGATAAGGAATGTACATTTAAACACACGAGAACATTAACCAACTACTTTAGGAGAGAAAAAGTAGGTCCGCAACAAGGATAATATACAGCCAAATTCTGCAATCCCTTGCATATGCTGATGACGTTGTCTTATTGGGTAAAGACACCTGTGATATTGCTAGAACTTTCGCATAACTGGAAGAAGTATCTCGACCAGCAGGACTTCGGGTCAATGACAGTAAAACCAATTATGTCTAATTACAAGAGACAATTAAACAGAGAAACAAATATTAAAATTACAAATTTGAAAATGTAGAAACGGACGAATTGCTGGAAGCAACTGGGCATTCTAATGCACACTCCTAGTGGCCTACTCTAATTACCGAAGTAACAAATATATAAAGCTCTCCCCATTGAGAACCCCAGTCGTGCATTTAGAAAGTACAGGCAACGTTTTCATTATTTTTCCTGTTCCTGATGTGTCCACAAACTTTAGTTCAAGTTCCCTCCTCCTGGAAGCTTGCCCTCCATATGAACCTTTAAATTCCCTTACTGCAGTTGTCAATCTTGAAGTACCTCGTGTCACTCGTTCATACATCAGTGTAGATTAAAAGTGGACGAGCTCCAGGACTCCAGCCAGGCGTTAGATACAATATATGTGAATGTCCTCCCAGTGGTATTCACTGTACATGTCTAAGACACAACCAAGGCATCTACTGCTGATAACAGTGCGGATGTTCTGGCACCCTGTTCTTCTAAGCAAGACCTTATAATTGTACGATGCAGAAAAGAGCAGTGCAAAAATTACCATATTGTTCCACAGATCACAGACTTTTATATATTAGACCTAGCCTGGACACAAAAATGTCGTGAAAAACTTTTATTAAGTTGAAACAAGGCATTGTTTTGTAAAGTAGTTATTAGAAGTAAAGTGTTGTTTTTTTCAAATCTAACCTATTATTTAGATCTAGGATTATCAAAACATGATCGCAATGGAAACTAAAAAGAAATGGCTTTATATCATAGATTTAGTGAGTATATAGTCCTGTGTTTAAGAGCCCTTTCTATTTAAAATCCGCAAAATGGGATTGCATTAATTTTAAACTTTGAAAAATATAGCTCTTATGCCTACTTTTCTAAGACAGAAAAGAGCGATTTGCCAAGAATCAGTTCCATTAGAGCTTATAAAAGAGTTACGTACATAAAGATGGGATACGAATATGTCTTTGTTTTCCAGTCTACTAGGTATAATATATATATATAGGTATTTGTATGGTTTTCTAATCAATTCACTTATCAATATTTCCATATTATGTAGGCATATAAAAAAGCTTGCTATTAATAAAAGTACGGACTCAAGTTTATTTGAAAACAAACATTTTATTGTAGAAAAGAAAAAGTAGCAAACATAGTGAAATAAAATAAAACATCACATTCAAAAGCTCAAAACATGACGTCATGATGCTAGTAGGAGTGACCCACCCAATGCCTTCAACACTGACTTCCCTTTCAATTGTTGATTGACTTCAAAGTGGACGAAACAGAAACATTTTTTCTTCCTCTTGTTTTTCTTTAGTGTTTTTTTTTTTATTTTCTCTTACAATGTCACGTGATCAAACATGTACAGAATTTAAAAAAAAACAAAAAAAAAACAACATAATAATAAATTTAAAAATCTGTGGATAGAAAAGAGAAAGAGATGCAAAGCCAGTGAAACAAAAAGTTTAAATCTGTCAAAGAATGTATTTAGCCAGAGACATGTAATATGCGTGAAAGATTATGTCCACCAATAAAACAATGGGGAAAAAAAACATGAGTTGCCATCTATTTCATTTTAAATAAACTACGAACATTCTACCCTCGGTGTTGTATTTACCCTTAATGATGCACTTTAATATACCATGCACTCTACCTCTCCCGATTTGATCACCAGTGTAAAGGTACAAGACTAATTTGAATTTGTGTGATACTTTCCCACTAATAAAACTAGACAACATTTCCAGTTTTCCCTCTACCATACTGTGGAGTAGCCCCACATTCTGAGCTTCTCCTAGCACAGATTTGAGAAGCGCTGAAATAAACAATGTCTGAGATGCAATCAAATAAATATGAACTGTAGATAAAGAGTTGTTTTTTGCGAGAAAGTCAGTCGGATGCAGAACTGTCAGCAGATTGAACACTTCAGCCAAGGAACACGTGACCTGGGCGAGTTCTAGAAGATGGGCCTGTCGCCGCATTGCACGTTGGCTCGCCAGTCGCACTTTTTCTTAGCCTCGTTGAAGGCGCTGTTGCTGGGGCAACGTATTCTGGCCACCACGCGTCCGTAGTTACACTTGTAGAACCGGGCGCAGTGGGTTGGGTCGCTGACGTCTCCATTGGACGTCCCTTCGCATGGTTTGTCCACTATAGGACTGGCGGTGGCTGAAAAGATAGGAACACATTTCATGACTCAGAACATAGTTGTATGTAGGCCTTCAAGTATCTATGTTTAGAATACATTTACTTCGATGCAAAGTAGCGTGTTTGTTGAGCAGTGGCGTAGCTAGGAATTGGCAATCATTTGGGCCGGGGGAGGCTTGACCTCTTTGGCGCCCTGCATTTTGTGTAATATTTAATAACTCATTTGGGGGCCCCATTTAAGTGAAGCCCGGGGGGATTTTCTAATTTACCCCCTTCCTCTCCCACCCTAGCTACGCCTCTGATGTTAAGTCCCTTCTATTGAAGATCTACTTTCATCTTATTATGAGAACCCATTGTTACCCTTCTGTAAGACAACCTGATTCCCCACCTATTTGTTTTACTACTTATTAAAGTAAACAGTAAATGTTCGAAACATTTATTTTGAAACTCCGTATGCCCGCTGTACAGCCTGGCTGGTACTTACTTACGACCACGTGACCAGGTATACTTCTCTCTTTGCACTCAGAGGCCACCAAAAAGCTGAGCTCGCACGTGTTGTTCCTAGTAGAGAAGAGAGTGTTGGTGGGGCACTCCATTGTGGCTACCACGGTCATGTTGACACAGGCCAAGAACGTGGCGCAGTTCTCGGGATCAGGGTTCATGCCATTCGGTTGACTTAAACACCGAGGATCGTCTGCAAACAGTTAAGAAAATTTTGGATAAATGAAAATATAAAAAAAGGAAAGCTTGGCAAAAACAAGAAATATTTTCTATTTATAAAGTCTGAAGCATCTTGGAGATTTTCATACATGGCGGGAAAAAACTATAAACAGCAAGCTTTTTTTTTTTGGTGTATCCGGTGTACAAACTAAAGTACGTGTTGTTAAGCTGTGTATTTTAAAAGGTGTCTGATAACTTCTGTACACTACAGAATCAAATGTTCTATACTCTGCCGTACATAAAACAACTTCAACATGCAGGAAGTATTAGACTTTCACTCTGTAACTTAAAACTTATTTAAAAATAACTGAGCAACTAACTAGCGGTAATAAAGGAACTTTGATACGAACATCCGATACCATTTTACTGAGATATTGTTAAAATTATACCTCAATTCTTTTTAATTACAGTCAAGCTCAATTTACTTTCCTGCGCGCCTAAGGGCAGCTCAGAAACCTTCTCCCGAAAATACTCCCCATGCCCTAAAGGTCGACAAAAGAGATTAAAACCAATAGCGTATATATGATTGTATTTGGCTTAATATGCAGTCCAACTTGACAGCAAGATAGTTTATATTTTAATAGAGTTTCATTTTTATTGTAAAAAGGTTGTAAATAAATTCTCATTATTGAAAATCTTGAATAATAAAATTATCGACTCATGACTTTTTATACCCAATTTATGCTATTGTAACGTATCCATTTTTTTTTTTAAAATTATTTATCTAGTTCAGTATCGTGTGTAAACATGGGCGTGTCAACTGCTGTTCTTGGTAGACGGGAGCATAATGGAGAGATCATTTGTAGTTTGCAACCCCCCCCCCTTTTCAATTTCCCAAATGTTGTGTCCAAATTTAAAAAAAAAATCTCTACGAGGTCACATAGTGAAACATAAATATAATAAACGACCCTTATATTAAAACGTCACTAAGATGCAGACAGTTGAAATTTTGCACACAATTGTTTATGGTCGATGACAAATTTGACTATTATTCGTTGTCACGCTTGTTGTGGAGTGTAATTGTGTATGTGTGCGTGTCTGTGTGTGTGTTTGTATGGCGACCATGGGAAGAGGTTTGTGATTGGCTGGTGACTATGAAATGTGAAGGATGCAAGATAAGTGATATTGTGGTCAGCGGTCTTGGGTACACCAGACGCGAGCACGCTACTCTGCCTCATCGTGGCGCTCGTGTGGAAACGACCATTAGAGGAAGTGGTTAGGCTAAATGGGTATCAACACAAGACTCCCGTGGGGATGCGAGAGACGAGAGTCCACCCATTGCACGGGCGGGGTTGCGAAAAAGTCCCCACAAACCTGTTACACATCCATGCGCTGTTCCTCAATGGGACCGTTACATAAATGGCGGGTCCCGCACAGTTAGCTTGGTATAACGAAGGAAAATGGCGGAGGCTCCCGGTGTCCTCGACCTTCGGCCATGTGCAGCCAAGCATGCGTCGGGGGCCAAAGGCTTTGGAAACAGCAATGCTTTACATAGGCATTGACTCGGGTCTCTCTCAAACAGAACTGTGTTCTCACAGGGTTTTTTTTTCCTGTTTGGCGTCTAAACGGGTTTTTTTTTAAAACTTAGGGCTCGAAGAGCCTTCGGCTCAGCCCTTGGACATCAACAAGGTACACCAGACGACTCCAGATTGGCAGAGTGATAAGACGTGTTATTGAAGTAAGCAAGATTTTATTTAAGATATTCTTTCATATTGTTACTAAAGTCTATTAGACTTATTTCATTTCATCTCAAGTTGACTTTGTCTCTATTCTAATCAAAGGTATTCCAAGTATTGTTCACAAAGAAGTTATTTGAGTTATTTCAAGTTTTATAAGTCAAGATATAATACGCCTACAGCGGTTTTAAGGTTCTATGTGTAGTATTCTGAGTAACAGATTTAGAATCTAGATCTCCAAAAAAATGTTTTTTTTGTGTGTGCGCGCTACTCACTCAGAGCAGGTGTAGTCATCACTTGATTGCAGTCGTCCCACTGTGACATTGGTTCCACGCAGGCGTGACCTACATTAGACCAAATCCTGGTGTCGTTGCAGTTGATAGTCCATTGTTTCTTTCCTTGTATACAAAAGTGTACCTGTAAACGAAACGGAAACTGAAATAATTATGTTAACATCTTATACATTAAAGACGTTTATTCAAAACAGAAGATAATTACGAGTATACGGTGTATTCATGTGTTAATCTAGTCGTTGGCGATTGATTGGAGACGTAATCTCTGCTAAGTCGTTGGTTTTCCTGACTGATTCAGGCAACTCATTCGTGATCCAATGGCCTTAAGGAAGAAGCACTTGTACGAATTAGAGACATCTTCTGATTGAGCTGGCCAATGACACCTCCTTTAAAGTCTCTAGAGATTGGCTTAACCAACTGGATGCGAACGAGAATATACAAACTTCGTACATACTGTAAGGAATTTTATTTTCTTCTATCGCTTTTTTCCTTTCCTCCAAATCGTCATTGTCTTTACAATAATGACTTACATGGCAAAGCATAGAGAAATTTTTTTTTTTATAGTATGTACCGTATTGTCGTACATATACCCCGCACACACATGTACCCCGCATAAATTACAAAATAAATAAAAAAATAATAATAATAATAAAAATCAATCGTACAACCCGCACCCTTATATACCCCGCATGAGCAAAGCGTGACTTGCCTAAAACTGCCAGTACATAAAGTACTATCATCGGTACAATTTGTTTTCTTGGAATTTAGAATGACATGTTTAAAAAGCTTTCCAATGTACATTTCACAACCACTTAACTAGAAGAGGTATAAAGATCCACCTGTATGCTATGTTTAGAAGTAAAATAAATTTAATTTTGTAAACCTTACACCTTTCTATACCCCGCACAGCTGCCATTTATTTGCAAAAACTTGTATAACCTGCGGGTTATATGCGTGAAAATACGATACTTACACAGTAATCTAATACATCAGACTAATTATTATACAATTTAAATATCTCAACTTACAAAGACCGCATCACAATTGAAGAGATTAAAAACAGGATTAATACAGCTATTGAACCCCACGATGACCTGCCAACCACTGTCAAAAGCGCAAACTTAAACTCTATGGCCACATCACAGGGTCCTCAGGGCGCGCAAAGACCTTCCTTCGAGGAACAGTACCAGGAAACAGAGGAGGCAGACAGACAAAGCGAATGGTAAGACAATATAAAAGAATGAACTGGCCTGTCATTGAAAGAAATTCTCTCCAAGACTAGAGCAGCGAGAAATGGAAAAAGACGGTCAACAGATCTTGTATGGTGCCCCAACGGTTCAAAAGACTATAATGAAGATTTCGTTTCCATCGATTCATTAATATCAGCATCTTTCTTGTAAATTCAAGACGTTTCTTCAAAATAGAAGATAATTACGTCCTGTGTGTATTCAAGTGCTAGTTGCAAATGTTACATCTCTGGCAAAGACGATAAAGCCAGACTTGTGTTCGTTTTAAATGCAATATAAGCCTAATAGGCTTGTATGGTACAATCATCGATGACCT